TTCAGTTGTTGATTTCGCCTTTTGTACACATTAACTCTTCTAATATTCATGTCACTCAAACACTTACAACCTGAAAAAATATTAAAACAACATATTGAGTTATCTAAGATAACTCAATGGAGTAATCACACTTCTAAACTACAGTAACTTGAAAATAAGAAAATAATATGAATTTTGGTCTTTCATACTTCACTATAAAAATCTCATAATAATCTAATGTATATTTTCATTGCATTTACTCAATAGAAATAACTTAAACTTCGACGTGCATTAACTTTATCTTTAATTTCTAATGTTTAGTTTTTTAATTTTACTTCTATTACGTACACTTAACTTTCATATTCATTTTAGGAGCATATGACCAATATTATTCTATTGACACAACGGTTCGTGATTCAAACTACATGATTGTATGAGGGGGAAAAGTGCTTGCTCGCTCCTGACTAATATTTTTCTGTCGGCACACTGGTTAGCAATCTAAACATCATAATTGTCTGGGGTGTTAGGATAATATCTACGTGTGCAGGTACATTAGTGTCTTCTACTTCATAAGGGGGTGAACTCTTTCGTGTACATACAAGATTCTAGGTATACAATATTTTCATTTCATTTTTCAAGGCATACAATACTTTCATGAGATAATTTGTATTTAACTACAAAAAAAATGCAACTCTATTAGAATTTAAGGATATGTGATAATTTAACAGATACAACTTTATTAGAATTCTAAATGTCAAGTAATAATCTGACATATATATCTGGTCATGCAATAAACTAACATATATATATTTTTACTAGAATAAAAGGGTCATGTAATAAAATGATATCTTTCTATAATAACTTATTATGCAACTATTAATAAAATGATATTTTTCTATAATAACTAAAAATATAATTAAAAGCAAGAAATATTACTGTATCAAAAGCATAATTACTTATCTTGATTTTAATTGTATTTCACGTTTACCTTAAAAACGTCTTTTTCTTTTGACAATTTAATGAGCTTGATTCTATCAATTCATATGCTATTCAACATTTAATTTCTCTATTAAAATTACATAATATTAATTTAAACATTACTTAAGTATAGCTCTAACCTTCCTTTATTTAAGCTAACTCTTCTCGTCGATCCACATTATTTTTCTGCCCTTTGATATTGAATCCTAATTCAATACTTAAATCATGTAATTATTTAATTAATTTAAAACTTAAAATTAAATCCTTACCTCATCCTTTGTTCTTTTCAAATAACTTCAATACCCAATCCAATATTCCTTCACCTCTTACTAATGTCGCAACATCTTCTTACAATCACTTTTCTTATGCTTCTTACATTAATTACCATAATCCATTATTAAATCCTTGGTGCAAATCAATTAAAATATATAAAAATATCTCTAAGAAAAGCAAACCTTAACTTTATTAAAATAGCTCAGTTTGGTCTTTCCCCCTTTGCTTGAAAGCTCGCAAAACCAAAGCCCCTCAACTCTCTTCTCCCACATGTTAGGGCTTCTTCTCTTCCTGCAAGACATGGGCCGACCATTTCTTCTTCCTGTAAGCGGCACTGCTCGATTTTCCCTTCCTTTTAGCTACTCGGGTTGGTTCTCCCTCACCTCTTCCTTCTTCATTCCTGATTTGATTGATTTGACCGCCAACATATTTTCACCTTCGTCTAGGGTTTTCTTGCACCTTGTCTTCTTCTTCTTCTTCTTTTAGGGCATTAATTTCTTCTATTCTTCTCTTCCTAGCGGTTTCATCTCTCCCTCTCTGCTCGCCCACACTTCCCGTCTCTCCCCATCTCTCGTCCAATTCTGTTGTTTGTGGGAATGAAGGAAATGAGGGAGATGAGCTTCATTTTGATTTTTTCGCAAGCGGCCCGTCTGTTTCGAATGACACATATAATTTATTATTATTATTATTATTATTATTATTGAGTTGATTAAAATTTAAACTAGTTATATAGAGGTCAACAATTAGATGTATAGTTTTCAGATGGATAAATTTTTTAATGATAGCTTACCTTTGCATTTGAATTAATGGCGACTCTTTGTTGAATCTCATGAACTTATTGGAGAATTGCGATTGGTCAGTGTTAACTTCAGGGAGTACTCAAATTGGCGTATATGTGAATTATGTATGATAATACGGAGAAATTTTGGGACTGATGAATAGAATCTTTTATGCAGAGCATTATGATAAGAAGCCAGTGGATACTAGTATTTTTCTAGTTTTATTATTGAATGATATGATATATTTTAAAAACTATTTTGTTGATATGAGCAATTAATATATTTGGTAGTCTACTTTTAGTTTGAGATATTAATTTCACAGCACTATGTTTTGCGGCCATTTTAATTTACTTTTGCTATCGAATGATAATCTAAATTCCTATCATTATATTACTTAGCATACATTGCAACTCATAAGGTGATGCATAATTTACCCAAATGGACATCCATATGTGCTGTTTATTATTCCATGTTTATTGAAACAAAATGTACTGTTGAATCGATATATATATATATATATATATATATATAATG